ATATTCTTCTCTTTTGGGGGAACTGCACCTTTGTCAAGAATAAATCCCCTGGGAAGGTACAGCCTTCCAAACTAACAAACAGAAGTTACATGGTAAAAGAAAGTTTTGGCAAACAAGGTCATGCTGTCTTACATTAAATGCCATGTATTTTAATAAGAACTTGACTAGTTCAAACAAGGAAACAGACCAGTCTTCCTCACCTCTTTAAGAGGGGACATACCAGAATCAAAGTGCAAAAATCCCTGTTGCTCCAAGATAGTCCTGTAAAGCAGATAAAAACCAGGATCAGGACACAGCCTGACTGGGAATGACTAAATCAGTTTTCCTCTTTAGGGTAGCCAAGGGCTGAATCTCAGCGAAGTTACTACAGATGATTTAAAAGGAGTTGAAGAGTGGAAGTCAAACAGGGTCTAGCCTGGATCAGCCCAAAGGAAGTTGATTCTTCCATGTACTCCTGCTATCCAAACCACCAAGCTGGCTCCTAGCAGTTAGGGCAGTGCCATCTCTGCTTGCTCAAGTGCTTCCCGTGCTGGTGTCACTTGCTGCTACCTGCTCCTCGTCAGGTTCTGCTGCACACTCAGAGCTTTCAGGTTTGTGTGTTGCAACCTCAGCACTGTCTCCTTCAGGATAAGTGGATGCTCCACTCTGCTTAAGACTCTCTGGAGGTTGTTTCTTGCCTGTGACTTCTGCTTGCCCTTTTTCACTTGCATTTTCTGCCTTTTGATGCTGTTCTACCCCATCTACCTCACTTTCGCCTTGCAAGAAAGTGCTGTTGCAGTGGTGCTGATCACTCCTTGCTGTGACTTGATCTCCACTCGACTCCAAGCCATCACTTACTGGAGAAGTCCAGCCAGTCTTGGGCAGCCTGGAATCAACTGGGGGTCCCACAGCCCCACCATCTGCATCACCACCACTCTTCTCACTTGCCACTTCCACAGCTGCCTTTTCCTCATTGTCATTTTCAGCCTCAGCAACAGATGGATTTAACTCGGTACCAGAGTCACAGGTCCCCGTGTTCAGCTTTATGGCCAAGTTGAATGTTCTGTTTTTTGGTGTTCTTTTATCAACTTTCCTCCGTTTCACAGCAGCATCAGTGCTCTCCGACGCTGCCAAGTCTTTGGTGCTCACATTGTCTTCCTTCAGTGTTTCCTTGTCCTCTTCTGCTTCTACGAGTGGAGCTGAGGAGGGGATTTCTGCATCAATTGCACATTCTCCCAGGTTATGGGAAATGTTTTCAATATCAGTAGGGCTTTTCAGTGGTCCACTGTCAGCATCTACCATATTTGCATCCAGTTTCCTCTTCTTGCTCTCTTTTGTGCAATCATTCTCTGCTGCACCCTGCACTTCTTCAGCCTCGCTGTTTAAATCCTCCTCCTCCTGCTGGATAAACAAAGCCTCTTTCGCCTCCTCATCACCTCCTCCTTTCAAAGGATATTCACTTATCTTCTCTTCTACATCTTTATCATTCACTTCAGGTTGCAAGCTTGCAGCATCTCCAGCTTCCTGTTCCTCCTCTGGAGACTGGTTCTGATCTTCCAAAGAATCATCACATTTTCTGCCAGGAGGTTCCTGTTTATCTTCAGCCTTTTGGTGCAGCTGTGACTTGGCAGAGCGGGGTCTGTACTTCAAGAGTTTGTGGTGTGGCCCCCACACGAAGCTGTCTTGAGGTCTGAAGTGTTGCCAAGCGTAGTGGACGAGTTCCCTTCTCTTCTGTTTGCTCCTGATGGTGAACAGGAAGTAATCCAAGGCACTTCTCTTGACATTTGGTAACGTCTCCTTAACCAGAGTTTCTGTTAGGAAAAACTTTACCAAGTGCACTTGATAATGTTCATATCCCATCTCCCCCAGGCACTTCAGGATGCGAGTAATCCGCAAATTGTTGTGGCCGAACCTGGACGAAACAGAGATGCAAGAGAAAATCTTACAAGTCACTATGAACCTCCAGGCTGTCTGAAAAACATTTTGTGCATTACTGACCATCACCCATTAAAGACTATTTGACAATGCAGGCGGGTTTACTTTCAAAGCACCTACTGCTTCTGTCTGCCTTCAGTGGCACCTTCCTGGCCCTTCTCAGGCTGCTAGGGTTGATCACCTCAACTACATGGAAAGGTTCTGGCTTTCTGCATCACCCACCAGTAGATCACAGCTACCATGCTGGGTCAGACACACAAGTCCATGCAGCCCAATCTCCTGTCCCTGACAGTGACCCTGCAGTTGGTTTTTATTTTGTGAGTATGCCTAGTCCTTTTAGAGCCCTCTTTAATAACGTGAGGGGCACCAGAATAAAGGGTCATTGCTGTCTTTATGATGAGACCCGCAGTAATATAAATCCATTACCATCAAATTGCAGAGCACTTTTCAACCAAGGACTCCAAGCACCTTACACACATTAAGGCATCTTTATAAACAAGCAGGGAAGCAGAGGGAAACACTCTTATTTTGTAGTTTAACCAAATACTACAAAGGCAATTTGCCTACCTGTGAAAATGTTTCAGTGATTCCCACTTAAAATATGGTTAAAAACATAAGCTCTGCCAGAGCAAACGTTAACATCTCCATGTCTGTGTTTTGTGTTTCAGCCAGAGCAGCATGAAGAATGCCTGCTGTTAACAGCTGCATTGGGTAAAAAAAGAACACCAGGCCCAGCTGGTGTACTTATTATACTTGTCAGTTAAAGTCACAGAGAGCACGATGACCTACAGAGGCTGAGCAAAGTTAAGACTTTAACTAGCTGACTTCCCTATCAGCAAAAGCCTCTATTCTTGAAGGGCTGAGGGTTTTCTTGACTTCCTTTTCTTCTCCAAGTGCCTGCAGTCTAAACACTTACCGGTTCAAGTTTTGAAACCGTTCAGCCCAATTCTCTGCTCTCTTGAGTTCTCCAGTTTCCTCATTGATCAGAATGATTCCATAAAATCCCAGCATGAGCTGATATGCACGGATAAATCTTTGCATAACTTCCTTGGACTTCTTAAAGGCCTGAAAACAAGAGAGGGCAATGAGTACAAGGTGCAACTCTCTAATGACCTGCACCAGTTTAAGCTGCACCTAAATCACAAACAAAGCTTATCACTATTATCACTAAGCATTTAATTTGCCTGTGTAGCTACTGGCAGACACAAGACAGAGGAATGCTTAACAGTGCTCAAGGTAGCTCCCTTCTCACTACAGCCCAAGGAAGCAAATTAAAATTGTTTCATATATAAGGCATTTAGGCAAAATCCCATTATCCTGCAGATCTCAAAAGACAAAAGCTTTAAATACCTGGATTTCTCGACACGTGAGTGGTTTGGCATGCCAGTTCATCCCAGGTTCACGTAAAGGGAACAGCCTGAAGGGAAAGAAATATTCAGCACAGATGAGCAAAGAGGACGTCCAACCAGGGCACCCATTTGTTTAAAATAAACAGGTTCCAGAAACTGGGATATCAGACATCTCTTGGAGAACTCACATCCTTATGGACACAGAAGCAGTTCACTATATGACAAATCTCTCCCATAAAAGCATTGTCTACACCGATGATAACATACTTTGCTTTCTGGATCTCTCTTTGCCCTAATGCTTTGTTCTGCAGTATGCTGTAAAACCAAGGATGACTGAGATCTACTGCCACAGCTACGCTGCAAACCTGTGTCTTCAGGCTTGCCACTGCATTGTTTCCAGAAGAATATAACTCAATTGAAATAAAGTGAACTTAGGTTTCATTGAAGAGCAATTATGGGTCTTTTGGGAAGCTGAATCCAGCAATACAAGTGACTCTTAAGAGGCACAGCTGAAGAGAGACACTATATTCATGCAGATAGTTTACCACTGTATGTAAGAATGGTTTTCTTCCAGAACTTCATAGTTGTCCCACCAAGATTCAAGCAGAGTTTCAATCAACAAACCTGAATAGAAAAGGAAAAAGTCAGGCAAGAAGAAATGACACCAAATAAGAATTACGATTAACGAGTCATCCAAGGTGTTTGCATACAGACATCAGCTTTTTCAATGAGGCAGCCAGGAAAAACACCTTAGTTTTCTAGCACCAAACAGAAAATTAAGGAACGTGAAGAAGGAACAAGGACATTCTTAAAATGGAATTTCTTGGTGGTACTTCGGTGCAGGTGGGGGATTCTTTTGCTGGTGCTTTGTTTGGTTTGGGTTTTTTAGTAATTGTCCCACATGGATCAAGCTATTCTCTCACCAATGCAACCAGCTGCAGCAGATTGCATCAGTTACCAAGGTACTCACCCTGGGGCAAAAAGCGAGTCTCATTTTTATAAAACCTTAAGTTCACCATCTCTTCTCCCTCATTTTCTGATTCCATCAAATCCTGGAAATAAGAACCAGAAATCAACAAGCAGCAATCTTTTAAAAGGCAGTATTCACTGCTCTTATTCACTGCACTATTCAGCGCTTCTCCTTGCACTCTTTCACTCTTCCTCAACATTTCAAGCTTAATCCTTGAAATGTGTTTGGGGAAGTAACAGCTTGTTTCTGATGCACCCACATGCACATCATCCCTTCCCCCTCACAAATGAATCCTTTAAAGGCTCGGAGCCTGTCAATGGGAAGACAAAAAGGTGTCCTAAAATCTAGAAAGCGTTCCTAAATGGAGCATGCAATTAGGAAGAGGCACAAGAGTCTGAGCATCATCGTTTAGTCCATACCGGGTACTGATGTCTGTATCTCTGCAAGTCTTCTGCTGCATTCCAGTTGCGCCTGCCTGAGAACTAGAGGGAAGAGACAGACCCAGAGTAAAGCTGCCTTCTGAAGAAAACCCAAGGAAATAAAATCCACTGACTGAATTTGGCATCTCTCGCACGCTCCCCCATCATTCTCCACTCCCCCAAACCAGCCAGTTTGTTACTGCAGTCCTTTCTCTACCTTCCTGAAGACAACTTCGGGCTTTGAGAAGTTCCCATTATCTCCTTTAGCCAAAACATTTCTTTTTCTTTCTAATCTTATTAGGCAAGGTCTTCATGTTTTATGCGTATCTTTCATCCCAGTTGGGCTTTCCCATAGACATGCTCAGAATTAGCTGGAAATCCCCAACTCAGTCCTTACCTCAATGGTTTTAAAACAAGACAAAGTAAGCCTTGCTTGTCTGTCTGTGTCTGAGCGAGACAGAGACCAGACTTTGAAACTGTTGAACTGAAGGTGCAGAAATATTCCTTAAATTCAAGATTCTCATTCCCTGCAGACATCATTGAAATAAAGTTTTCTTCATCTTTGCTCTATACTCAAGAGCAGCCTTGCTGATTCAACATCATGCTGATCTAGACAGTGCACAATAATAAAGCCATATGGTCACATTAAGATATTTATTTTATTGCACTTCTGTTCCAATTATCTTCTTCATTGCTCATGTCTCCAAGTAATCAAACTTTATGTCAAGCCTACCTGAAACCTCCTCTGAAACAGCGGTGACGAATTTGATTTTGGCTCCTACAAATAAAAGGCATTTAGTTGAAACATTCCGAAACCAAACTTGACTAATAAAACAAGTGAAACAAGAATACCCACAGCAGTGACTCACATGATCCCTACCAGTTGCCAAGTGACAGATTTACCTAGTTACAGCTGAATTCACTTGATTCTATTCATAATTCAAATTGCTATAGAGAAAAACCTGTGGTGCCACATCCACCTGATGATTAGGTGTCAGCTTCTCCTCACTACACACGTGCTAGACTCATCTCAAATGGAGCACTTAGAAATCACAAAGAACAGCTTCATTTCTTCCTTTGAACTCCATGGAAATAGAAGTTGCAAGTATGACTCGACTTCAAATGTATTTTTACAGTGGATTAGTTCAATAAGAGATTTTGTTACACTTCACAAGCCACACAGACAGGTTTAACATCGCTTGAGTGCTGAAGCACCTTGTCCCAAACCATTAAAGTGCTTCAAAGTGTTCTGTCAAGGCAGAACCACCAAAATGAACCAGACTGCTCATGAATACAAGGATGCACCCAGCGTCAAGCACGGTGCAGTTAAGAGTGTTCGACACCAGCTCACAGCAAGAGCAGGGTCTTTGTGAGACAGGGATAAGATGAGCAGACTCTTGCAAAACAAGCATTTTAAGAAACTTAGAAGCAGCAGCAAATGCTCTCCTAAGTTATTTTTTCATTTAATGAGATACCTCTTAAGAGAAAACCACTGTCTAGTGAACACTGATCACTGGTTCATTAATTATTAAGGCAGGAACTGGATTAGATTTTGTAATGCCTCATAATAAAGTCATCCATTCAGCTGCCTTGTTGGTTGTTAATATTTAATTCATGAAGCACACACAACATAGAATCATAGAACAGTTAGGGTTGGAAAGGACCTTAAGATCATCTAGTTCCAACCCCCCTGCCATGATCAAACCTTTATCCACAGAGGGAAGTCATCAATGCAGAGCTTTCAACATACATTTACTAATCATAGGCACACTATGATTCCCCCATAGTTTTTGACAGGAATTAAACAAAGCTCAAATTGGTTTTTAAATGTAGCAACTTGTGATGACCTAAAATACTGCCTGTCTGTATTGCAACACATTTCTATTTTATACATGACAACACAGACCAAAATAGGTGGCAGAACTTCCCACAGGCACATGGCCCAATCCCAAGTGCTGGTGTCCATCCCCAGAGCCACCCAGACTGCAGAAATGCACCCACCTATAAAAAGCTTTCCTACACAGCTAAAAAAGCAAGTGGCTGCCAACACAAGACTAAGAAATGTGTTCAGCCAGAAGAGATCAATACCATTCTTTTGTTCAAGATGTAAGCAGAGGCTGCGGTTTAGCACTGAAAATCATCAATGATATTGACTTCTGAACCCCAAGGATGAAGTTCTGATACATGTGGAATTAATGAACATTTTGTTCCCAGCTATAGAAGCATCAATTTCCTGATATTCTTTGCACCTCAGGTTCTAAAATAACATCCTTTAACACAGCCAGGTGGGAGAGCTAACAGCAGACCGAAAAACAATTGGGTTGCTGCAGAGAAAGTGCAGATACCAAGACAGATGCAATGCAAAGTGCTGTATGGATTATCTAGAAAGAAGTTAGATCCAGGACAAAGGCATTCTGCCTGAAATTCAGCATGGAAGAGAACAAGATGGGGAAGCAAAGAGAGCAAAGTTCAGCCCTCCCTCTAAGCAGGTGTTGCTTCTGGATCTCTATAAACTTCTACTTAAACCACACAGAAACATAACCTTCCCTTTCCGAGTTAAAAAGACTTTCCTTAAGTAAGCACGCAAACCCCAAGATTGTCAATGCTCACTCTTAAGACATTAAAAGCCCCAAAATGCAAGAGAGTTGAAAAGACACACCTGCAGGAATTCCAAACCACTACCATGGAGGATTTGCAGAGACACAAGTGAAATGCAAAGATAAAAGCAGAACTCTGGATTGGTTTGGAAAGCATGCAGTGAAAATAAGAATAACAAGAACCTCTAACCTTAATATTGAATAAAAACCTTAGCAGCTTCAGCAATAAAGTACACCATGAAAGCTGAGGGGAGAAGAATGAGAATTAGTGCGATATAAGGAGAAGTAGCAACTACTTCAGGAAATTGGTTCAAGCCTTTGGCAGGTTGTAATGGCATAAATGGATAACAGAGAATTTACTGGTTCTTTCTGCATCCACTCTCACTGGCCTTAAAAACGTTTCAGGCACTGTCAGATAGAGGCGACTACACATTCATCGCTGATGGAAGAACTCTTTCAAGATGCAGAAGGGTATTCCAGGGGCTGCAAGTCTCAGGAACAACATCCTCCTTTGTGAGGCAAAGTTTGAGGAGTCCACTCACTGGAGTGAGAAACTGGTCCTTGCTTTTAGAGTTGTCACAATCCAGAAGTAGCTCTAAGAAAACAAAAGCACCTGAAGAAAAAAAACTCATAAAGGATAATGTGAATGTTGTGGAGGCATTAAAACCTGCGGACAAGACCAGAACTCCAGCCATACACAGAAGGAAGTCGTCAGTGGGCCCTCAGACAATGCAGAACACTTCAAAGGGAATCTCTGCCTCTTTCTTTAAGTTTTACAAGTATTCCACCCGAAATACCTGTGACCCTTCACAGACCCGGGTGCACAGCCAATGCCTCACCACATTCCCTGCAGCAAACTCCATGAAGACACAGAGACATGCACGGGCATCTCCATCTGCTGCATTCCAACTCTGATTGTATTTGCAAAGGATAGGACTCATGGGTGTTTGGAATCCTAGGTTGTACAGGATTATTTTTTTTTTAAAGGGAGGTTATTTTAATATCTTAATGCTTATTAAAAAAAATTAGAGCTGAATATTAAACTCCTTTACAAGTGTGTTACTTAGAAAGCTTTATCTGCCTATTTATAGTCTAATAGGGATGAGTCGCTGAAATGAAACTCAAGTCAATGATCAGTTTCCATCTCCCCAAAAGGGGACGAGTTAAAGGACTAAAATCAGCGTGTTTTGAGTGCCCCAAGAAACACTGAAGAACAGAGACACAAGTTTTGCACTTGCCAAAGCGATGCTGTAGAAGAAATTACTGACGCGCCATGTCAAACTCAAACACGTTGATGCTAAAGACAGGAACCTCAGGTAAGACTAACAAGTTCCTCTTATTTCAAATCAAGATTATTTTGAGGCACCGAGCACAAACATTCACATTATGCAGCGCTACCTCACTTACTACAACTGCTGCACACGTACCTGCAGGTTTGAAAACATTGATGGGTATTTTGTTTTCAGAGTTGCTCTAAATAGCTCCCTAGGGAAAAAACATGTATGTGATGGCTTCTTATGGATGGCATAAAATAGCATATGAAAGGCCACCATCCAGAAATGAAGATACTGACAAAGAACTTCAGAGCAAGAAGCAGCTGAAGAACATCAATGTTATCACATCCGGTGGCCATCAGGATGAAATGAACAGGCAGGTGCAGCACAGAACTTGTACTTATGGGATAAAGTATCCAGATCACAGGGAATGGTGGGGGAAAAATATTACAACCAACTCATGGCGGTCTAATGGAACTTCAGGAGTCACAAAGACACATGACACCTCTGCCCTCACCACCCTGAGCTCGTTTCTGAACGGGCCTCAGGTCATGTCTCCTCGAGGATTTGCTTCTTGCAGATGAGGACAAAATCCTATGCCATAAATCACTGCCAGGTCAAAAAACGTTTTACTTTTTGTAAGTAATTTAAGCTGCTCCAGTTCCTGATAGTAAATTAGGTACTGGAGAGAAGGAGCCCCACATACACTGACAGCAGAGCAGGGGGTGGCCGGGGAGGAGCCAGGGTGCACATCACCCGTACACCCGAGTATCTGAGCTGATCCCGAGGGTCGCTGTAACCCTGACGGTACCGACCCCGCTGCTGAGCACTAACGGGAGGAAAGCTGCAGCGAGCGGGACCGGCACAGCCGCGGAGCGGACAGAAGGGGGTTCCTCACCCCAGGGACCACGCATCCCCGGACCCACCGTGGCCTGCCAGGAGCCCT